GAAACTGCCATGTGCCTACAGCAAGATCGGCTCAGGCTGACGGTGCGGGGATCCTTGTACTGCCATGGCTGCATAGGCAGTCTGGAACATTTCCTCACCTTTCATGGCTTTGTGTGTCGCATCTTCTGCAGAACAATGTGTTAACGCATCTATTTACGTTTCAAAAATGTATTTTGCTATCTTTTGGTCGTCCTGTTTAGAATAACATAGAAAAACATAGATTATGGCCAGTACTCCATGCTACTTAGATAGATAGCTGACTTTATTGGGAGAAACTTCCTGCAGAAATTTTTGTTTTGTTCTTAAAGCTTGGACTCATCTGTCTAGTTAAATATGCGACTACGTAATACCTATTTGGGTTTATGTTTCATGTGTGAAGATTGAAATAAAAAGTTTCTCCTTCAAAGTGTGGTGGTCTCATTTCATGATTAAAGAAGGTTCAGTTCTAGAATATGTGTCTGCATAGCTCTTCCTGTGTAATCGGGGAAAGCATGGAACTATGGTAGCTCTAATATCTTAAATACTCCCTGGGTCCCTTAAACATAGGGTTTTATTTGATCCTCAGCCATGAGGTAGCTTATTAGTCATACTTCATCTCATGTGCTTGGAGCATGCTGTCAGAAGGACATCATGCTTGGTAAACGGGAAGCCCACAACAAGCTGGATGGACACACTGGCTGCAACAATGGGCTCAAATAAAAGAACAATTGTGGGGCCGGCACAGGACCAGGCAGGGTTTCATTCTGTTGTGCATAGATAGGGTCACTATGGGTTGGGACTGACTCACCATGCCTACCACCACCACTGAATTTTTATAGGTGAGAGAAACATCACATTTTAGAGAAGTTAAATTACTTTCCCCAGGTCAAGTACCTACAGTGTGGGAATTGTGCCCGATCTGACCCCACCACACTAAGGCAAAACACTAAGGGGGTGCAACGGAGTAGCAAGGGGAGCACAGCAAGGAAGTCCCGAGATAATACCAAAAATAGACTGAGGCCAGGGCATAGCACCCCATCAGACTCAAAAACACTCCTAAAGGTCAACAAATAGACCTTGAACTATTTTCTTTTTCTTGTCATTGGTTTTTTTGTTATTTTCTTTATCACTTTATTTTGCTCTGGCTTGTTTTTTTGTGTGTGCATATTATCTCTGCAGATCTATCTAGATAAGATAGGCTGGACAAACAATCTGGAGGAGAAAACAATGGACTGATGGTTCCAGGGGGACATGGGAGAGGGGGAGGTTGGGGAAAGGAAGTGGTGTTAACCAACCCAGGGACAAGGGAACAACAAGTGATCCAAAATTAGTGGCAAGCAGGGTAGAAGAGGGCTGGTAGGGATTGATCAAGGGCAATGTAACTAAGAGGAATTACTGAAACCCAACTTAGGGCTGAGCACGATAGTGGGACAAGAGGAAAGTAAAGGGAAATAAAGGAGTAGGAGGCAAAGGGCATTTATAGAAGTCTAAATACAGGCATG